TCAAAAGTACCTTCAAAAACCTATAGAATTTCATAAATTGAATTGAACTTCCTCCTTACTCATCAATTTCCAGTTCTATCTTGGAGATAAATAGAAAAATAATGTGGCATGCCTATAAAGAGTTTGCATATTTTAGTACTTTGCTTTATTTCTTAGATTTTATACTTTGACTCATTTTGTTTCAGTCCCAATGTATTTGTATGTTACTTAAAAAAAAAAAGCCTGGATTTATTATAGATCTTAGGCAATCTGGCACATAAGTATGTTGCCCAAAAAATGTATTGCTTTCAGGAAATATTCCATGCTATGCTAAGTAATGAGAAAGACTACATTATAAAAGTGCAGTCAGAACAGCTAAGTAGCTTTCCTAGTTACTCAAGGCACTAATGCAATATTTTCAAGGAACCAGTAAAGTATTACATAATAGTGAGATGCTACTAGTATTTTTCATGTATGTTAAAAATGAATCCTATTGTAAAGTATACAGGTGATACTGAAATAAAATCTTCTAAAATTTTATTTAAAACATTTCCTTTCAATTAAGCTTCTGTATTAAAACATATATTACTCAACTAAGATTTTTCAACCAAATGCTAATTTCTTCCTGCAAACAGAATATGGAACTTTTCATATGCTAAAGTCCCTTCACTATACAGTATTTTCTTCTAAAATAGATATATATTTCTTTTTCTTAATATTAAGTAACTCTTTTAATCTATAATAGTAAATTAAGTGTTTTCCCACATAGATTTCCCAATTTCTTTCTATAGGTTCTCTAAGAAAAACTTCTTTCCTACTTTTAAATATTTTTATCTTTGAAGATGCTCAGGGATACAAAGATATGCATTCTAAGAATTCATTCAATCATATATAATGGCATAAATATGTTTAATTAATTTTCAAGTGTACAAAGGAAATGCACCAACGAAACAAAACAAAAAAGCATTTAAACATCTCAGCTATTATAAACTCACTCTAAAATTATTACCATTTTGGTTTTATTCAGATTATCAGATTCTTCTTGAAAACTGCTTGAATCTAGCCTCCAAAATTTTTTTTAAAAGTCAGCCACATGAACACTGTAGCAGAATAAAATCAGAGAGAGCAGGCTGATGGATCACAGACCTCAGCCTGTAATGGGGCTTAAAGGGAGATAACCTTGGAAACTGTTCTAACACCAGTGGCCAACATCCAGTATTGGATGGCGCTATGAAAAACTCAGTATTTCTTCCAAAATACCCTGCCACTATTTTTAGATTGAGAAATGCCAAGTGTACTGCTCTCATAGTTATTTCCTCTAGTATTAAAATGACACACATACCAATACATGTCAGTAATTTTAACAAAATTTTCTAGCACTACTTGTACTTCCTTGGAATGTAACATCACATATATCATCTACTACAAGAGAACAGAAGTTGGAAATAATTTTTGGCAAAAATAATAATGCCTTTACTATTCATTCTTCAAGAATTAAGGGGATAGTATAAAGTGAAGAAAAAAAGGAAAAAGGAGAGGGAGCTTACAAAGATTGAATGTTACGTATTCTTTACAGATTTAAAATTTTAAATACTACATGTACCTAAAAAAATAGTTATTCATATTTGGTACCAGGTTTTGTGTCAGGTAGATTATATATATTATCTTTAGTGCTCATCATTAACGCTAAAGCATCTATTATTATCTCTCTCATACTGAAACTTTCATAATATATAAAATTCTTTCCAATGAGATTAAAAACTTGTCCAAGTTCACAAAGCTACTATATTCCAGAGCTGGAATGTGAACTCATATCTATGCCACTCTACAGACCACTCTTTTAACAGAACAACACTGAGAGTTTCCCAGTCCACACAAGTGGTGGTGGTAGGACTCAAACCCGTATCTGTCTTGACTCCAAAGTCTGTGCTCTCTATCCACTATGCTATTCTGTCTCTGAGCAGTGAAAAGAGAGATTTTTCTTAGTCATAATCTACACTTCACAATGAAGGCTTACTTGACTTCTATAATTCCTCAATTGCTTTTGCTAACAAGGAAATCTATATGATCGATATCTACCTGTTTCAATAATTCATAGCAAAAGCCAAATGGGTAATTGCTGCATTTACACTACCAATAGGAAAGCATGCCATGAAAAAAAGAGAGGAAAAAGCATCATCATCATAATAACAACATTAATAATAATAATCACTATGCAGCACTTGGTCTTTGCCAGGCACTGTTCTAAGTTGTTTAGCTATACTGATTTATTTAGCATAACCACCCTGTGAGGTAGGTACTATTATCATTCTCATATAATCAGAGTTAAGGAAACATAAAAAAAGGTAAAGTCATGTCCCTAAGGTTACATAGCTGTAAGTGATAGAGCCAGGAGCTGAAATCCAGATGATCTGGCTCTACATTCCATGCTCTTAACCACTAGGCTAGGGGTCCCCAACCCCACTTCCCTCACTGGGCTACAGAGCAGGACTTGCATGGTGGGCAGGTCAGCCAGGGAAGCTCATCTGTATTTGTAGCCACTCCCCAGCACTAGCTTCACTGTCTCAGCTCCACCTCGGTCATCGGGCATTAGATTCTCATTAGAGCACTGGTCCCTGGTGCCAAAATGGCTGGGGACCATTGCTAGGCTACAGGGCCTTTCTTTGTAGAAAGAAAAACTAGAAATGACTACTTTTTAAAAAGCAAGCCTATTTTGTTCATAAGGCTACCAACAGGATGGTGTTGCCATCATATTACTGTCAATAAATGCTTTGAACAGTAAATTTGAAGTGAATTCTTCAGCAAAGAATTTAAATTTGTTCTGATTGCTTACTTATGCCTTTAAACTCAGTAAAGTGGGGATTTCAATAAAGTACAACATATATTTAGTGAATTTAAAGTCAGTGTTTAATTCTAACCTATCTTTCTAACCTACCTTATCTACAAAGACTGTCTCAAGAATTAAAATCAAATATAGAGTTTATATATCAATCCTTTTTTGTAGACTTAAAAAAAATTAGCTTATACATTTCAAATTGTTTTTCAAGCATATACCACGTAATGCTTTGCTTAGAAAACGTGCACTCAGTATGTTTGTGTGTGTATTAATCTGGATTCACATTTTAGGACTTCCCATGACCACTTTCCAGTTTCTTTGGGCGTCAAGCACAGTTAGGGGACTCGACATGATGAAAAACACATTTCTAGATCTGTTTAGGAAAGACATCCCAAATAAATGCACTCTGATTAAAAATAAAACAAAACTTAGGTGAACTTAAGGGCAAAGTTTGCATTTAAACTTTTTTTTAAGTCATATTTTTCTTACAAACTTTTTTCTTCCTTAACATAAATCATATATAGTGACCAAGTAAGCGATCAGCCATAATAATGTCACTGAGCATCAAGGCAATTCATATCAATAGAAAGGATCATATTTTCAAAAGTAAGTAAACTTTACCTTTTAATGAGTAAGAGTGAAAAAACATATACTATTTTCTGATTTGAGAAATAATGTTTTTATTTTAATGAACAAGCAGAGTTATCACTAATATGTATATACAATATGAAAACAGATTCTTTTGCCAGTGTTTAACTGAAGCATTTATGTACAAAGTTAAAAAGGCACTAAATTTGCTAGACTTGAAAACACAAAATCAGCATTCCTAATATATATGTTTTTAGAATTGACCAGAAAAATTCTTTTAATACTAATCAATCATCCTGTTTACTTTGACATGTTGGAAATAACAGGAAAAAATCTTTCAGGTACAGACAGTTTTCCTAGTTTGGAAAACTAACTTTTCTGTTAATATTCAACACCAAAAGAAAAATAAAACATTAACTTGATTTTCATAAAGATCTCCAAGGAAAAAGTAATATAAGAACTAAACTGCTATTTGTTCATATAAGAATAATTTAATTAAAATTTAATAAGTTAGAAAGCTGATGGTGATATTTTTAACTTTGGGAGAATAAGGAAGGAGAAGTTTTAAATAAATCTAAGCATTTTTGTTATTTTCCCAAAGAGGATGATTTTTAACAACAGAGAAGTGGTGGAGTACCAGGTACAGATAATCCACTAAAAATAAAAATCAAGGTGAGCAGCAGGTTTATTATTCCTCTTGAGAGTGCTTAATAAATATATAATATTAATGTACCTTTTATTCTTTGTTTTTTAGGCAAAATTATCTTTTGAATAACTTCATTATGAGCAGTCACTTGTGCCTGCCTGAAAATATAGAGAATAGTAATCAACTCAGAAGAAGGGCTGGAACCAATGAAATGCTATTTGAAGAAAATGGAATTCTTCTACTTGAAAAACATCTTGGCTTCTGTAAAATGTAGTTTAGTTTTTTATTCCATAGATTGTTATATCCTAGGTAACCATGTTACTTTCATCTTTTCAACCACAGCGTCAAAGCTTAGATCATAGTTGCATTCCATATTTCTATCTGAAGCATTCGACTCCTAGATTTACAAATTCCTCACTTGTGAATACAATATTTAGCCTGACTTACTACCCTGCACTGCATGATGTGTTTTTCCTGGAGTGTGATTTGCCCTCCCAAGAGGATAGTGTTTCCTTTTCTCAAACTGTCAAATTGTTAGCAAGAAGCTATGGATAGGAGAGAGTAAAGTTCCATGTCAATTAAAACTCTGAATGAACATAGATTCTCAAACATCCTCCCAACTGGCTTTTATTTTCTGTCTATCAGCTGAAGATTAATAGATCTGTCCTAAGCAAAAAGGCAATTATGGCACGGCCATCAGCTCTTAAACTCTTTTGGTGGCATCACTGACATGAAAGTGAACCATAGTGAGCTAGAATGATCCTGTTTTGTATCTACAATGCTGGGTCAGCAGAAGAGGCAGTATTCAAGGGAGAGAATCCCAGAGAGGGATGATGAGGCTCAAACAGAAGAGATTCTGAGGGCTTGGATGATTATTTGTACAAACTGTTATAAGAATGTCTCATTATCTTCTAATTAAATTTAATTTAGTGATTCCATTTACATCTATACCTGGTAAATCCGAGAAGAGAAGAATGCACTCATTAAAGCCATTAGCCAAAAGCCGGTCCCGTAGCTGCTGAAGAATTGCTACTCCGATACAGAATGGAAAAGAGGAATTCCCAAGTAGCAAGGTATCCCAGAGGTGGAAAATTTTGTGCAGTGGGAATACATCTGTAAAATGACAAAATATAAATAAATTATAATAAAAAATAAAATAACAAAAATTTAAACAATAACAAACTGCTTTACTAGACACATGACAATTACCTTCTGGTCAAAACCATTATTTAAAAACAAATGCAACCAAATTGTTTTTATAAAACATTTATTTGGCTTTGTAAATTTATTGCAAACTGATAATCAGCTTGGTCAAATAGATGACTTTTCTAACCTTTGTTATAAATCTTGGTATAGATGTTCCATACATTACATTTCTTCCTAGAATTTTCCAGTTACATTATTCTAAGTTTATTTGTCTAGAAGAACTTTAGTACTGTTTTAGATTCAGCATTATTGTACTTCTATTATGCACTTTGAATAATTATTTTATTAAATTCACATAAAAAATCCAATTAGCAATTTTCTATTTTTCGAAACTTTTTTTTTTCATTTAACAATACTGTAGATATCTTTCCAGGCCGATGCATACAGATCTACTTCAAATATTGTATTCTATTTAGCATGTGATTATATTTAAGCAGAACAAGCACTGTATTAATATTTGTAACTGACTAAAGTATTACACATTCACGTATCTGTTTAATTTCTAGAGGAATTCTAGTTTAGGAAAAAACAAAAGTATTAGTTATTAGAAAATCTCTAAAAATTAAGCCTGATTTGGTTGTAAACGTTACCTTCCAAAACTTTACGTAACTACTATAGTTACTGTTAATTTTTTTCAATAGAGGGCAGAGATTTTATGAATGCCACAACATGTAAAAAAGGTTTTCATCTTGTACAATACTCTTTTTAATATTCAGCAGTCAGCACAATTGAAATTCTTTTCTATTCAACTCTATTACATTAGAATTACATAAGAATGCTTATGTAATTAAATCTGCTGATGCTATTGTAAATATAATATACTAGGGAAGAATGGAGCTGTCCTTTTGCTAACACAGTATCAAAAGGAAAGGGAAAATGATACTTACGAGTAAACATGGTGAGAAACCAAGGAATGGCATAGAGCTATGAGTGGAAAAAGAAAGGGGTACAGAGGATGGATGGATAGAGGGGAGATAAAAGAGATAATTAGAATGATTATCAATAAACTGAATGGTAAAGAAAGTTCTACACTTAGGTCTACTACATTGTTTAAAATATAAGAGAATATTATAATTATTACCATATATATTCTATTAAGTGATGATATCTATTACAAATGCTGTAGACGACAAGGGTTATTCAACAGAATGTCTTCATTTTAGCAAAAGATACACTCAAGACTATGCCTAGTCCAAATACAATACTAGCATGCTAATTTTAAGAGTGTAATTTTCAGATCGTATAAAAATATTCTTGAGATTTAAAGTGGTCCTCATTAGTGCTGGGTATTAATGAGTATTTTTGAGACTAGATGATACTTAATAAATGCCCAAAATGTCTCAAAAAAGGTGTAATGAAGCATATTCTTTCTGAGTAGGAAGCTTCATAACAGACTAAAAGCAGTAAGATCAAAAAATGAAATAATTTGGTCCTTTAGCTGAGTAACAAATTTATTTTCCCAAGTTTGCTGTGTAGGGATAAACACACACACACAACACACACACACTTTCAATTAATTTTGTGAAATTATGGAAGAAATCATTTTTAATTTCTAAAAGTAAAAAACCTTGTCAATAGCAAGTATCAAAAATCTATAATAATTTATGGAAAAAGATAAAAAGCTCTAATTTTATTTTACTTTCTGCATCAATATAGGCTACTATTAAATAAAGATTTCTGTACTGCCTATCAGGTTTAAACAAATACTCTTTTGAAATCTATTAGTTATAAATTTATGAATTCCATATGTCTTTGCATTGCACACAAATTAGTATTTATGTCATCAAAATGCCAGTCAAGAAATGTAAGTATAAATACACACGATATTCAAACCTAAGTACTGTATGTGAAATAAAACCCATTGCTCTACACAAGATCATCATTTATATATGTTGACACATCGACGGTCTTTTCAAGTGACATTACAAATGGGAGAACTGAGGAATATAAAGATATGCGATTTCACTGTAAAAAGTACGGACTATAGAAAACGATAAAATATAACAAAATTCAAACTCTTTGGCATAATTTAAGTTTAAAAACAAAGTCAGTAGAAATTAGTTTCATCATTAATATTCAACTTTTATTTCTTTTAAGGACATGACATATTTCATATTTCCCTCTACCCATCTGATCAAAGCCAATTGTTTGTCATTAGGAGTCTTTCGGAATTACTCCAGCAAATAGCTAACAATCCATTTTTCCACATACTGAAGAGGGTATGTATATGAGGACACTACATAACACAGAGAAAGAACCACTTGAAAGAATCAGAGGGAAAACTCACCAGACTCACACAAAGCTAGGAACAATTCATTTTACCAACATCCAGAATGAAAAAAAGAAAAATAAATAAAACAAAACAAAAAACCCCAGTAATAAACAAGATATCAGCATATTCAAAGAATATTGCCTTAGAAATGGGGCAAAATTATGCTCCCAAATTATGTTGCCCTGGTCTCACTTAATAAGCTTTAAAAGCAACCCCTTGAAAGGATCAAACTTTTTCAAAGTTACTTAACTATACCCCAGAATAAAGCTAAAGAATACTTATGAGAATGTAAAAATATCCAATACTCAACAATGTAGAATTAACAATGAACTAGAATCCAGTAAAACATACCAGTAGTGCAAAGCAACAGAAAAAAAAAAAATCCATAATGGGGACCAAAATCATTCAATCAAAATGGACACAGAACTGACATATATATTTGTAATTGTAGGCAAGGACATTAAAATACTTTTTATATCTGTAGTCCATATATTCAAAAAGCTAAGAAATGATCAAAGACATTAAGTAGAGACATAGCAGATACGAAATAAGAATCAAATCATACTTCTACAGGTGAAAAATGTAATGTTTGAGATAAAAATACACTGAATGGGATTAACAGCAGATCACACATTGCAGAAGATTAGTGAACTTGAAAACAAAGCAATAGAAAGTATCCAAAATAAAATAAACACAGAAGAAAAGAAAAAAAACACAAAAAAACCAACATGTCCTATGCATCAGCGAAGAACATCAAGTGGCTGAATATATGTTATTAGATACTCCAAAGGAGAGAAGATGGAAGAGGGAACCGAAAGTATATTTGAAAAAGTAGTAGCTGAGCATTTTCCAAATTTGATAAAAACCATATACAAGAACCCTGAATCTCAAGAATCTGAAGAAAACTACACTAAGGTATATAATGCTCAAATTTCTCAAAATCAATGGTAAAGAGAAAATTCTTACAATGTAGCCAGAGGAAAAAAGATATCAATGAGAAGAATGTTTTCTTGTCAAAAACAGTGTACAGCAAAAAATTTAAAGTATTAAAAAAAACCCCAACCTTTCGACTTAGAATTATATCCCCAGCAAAAATATTTTCAAAGACAAAGGTAAAATAGACTCTTTTGCACACACAAAAGCTGAAAGAATTCATCACCAGCAGTTCCACACAACAAGAAATGCTGAAGAAAGTCCTTCAGGCAGAAAGAATATTACACGAGACGAAAATCTGGATCTACGCAGAAGAATGAAGACTCAGGAAGTATAAATATGTGGTTAAAGACAAAATACTTTTATTTTTAAAAATCTTTTAAAAATTGACTTTTTAAAGCAAAAAATATAATTAATTGTGGGGCTTATAACAAAAACAGGTAGAAATAAAATGAGGGACAACAATAACACAAATGCCAGGAGGGAGAAATGAAGGTATACTGTTGTATTTATACTTTATGAGAAGTGGTATAATATTACTTGAAAGCAGATTGTTATGAGTTGAAGTATAGTATAAACCAGAATTTCTTAACTTTACAACTATTCACATTTTGGGTTGGAGAACTCTTTCTGGCAGGAAAGTCATTGTACTTTGCATTTTAAGATTTTTGCAGCAACTCAGCCTCTACCCACTAGATCCTAGGAGTACTCAGGCAGTATTGTCAAAAATGTCTTCAGGTACTGCCAAAAATCCCCTGGAAGGCAAAACTGCCCCCTGCCCCCTGTTCGAAGACCACTGTATAAACTCTGCAGAAATCAATAAGAAAACACAATGAAGAGGTATAGCTAATATGCTAACAAAGGAGATAAAATAGAATCACGCACATACAAAACATCCAATGAATCCAAAGAAGGCAGGTAAAAAAGGAAAAACAGAACAATGAACTGATAGGACCAATAGGAAAAAAATAACCAGTGGTAGATTTAAAGACAATGATATCAATAATCACAATAGTTCTGTGATGGTTAATTTGATGTGTCAACTTGGCTGAGCCACAGGGTACCCAGATATTTAGTTATCTGGGTGTCTCTGTGAGGGTGTTTCTGCATGAAATCACATATCGATCAGTAGATTGAGTAAAGCAGATTGCCCCCTAGTGTGAGTGGGCTTCATGCAATTTGGTTGAGGTCTGTATATAATAAAACACGGAGCAAGAAATCCACTCTCTCTGCCTGATTGGATATAGCGGTGAACAAAGCATAGTTCCAGCCTGTAGTGTAAGGGGCTTACACTTCATTAAGAGCAGTAGATGTGCATTATATACTCTCAATCCACTCCAGTTAGGTTCTTGCCTCTATCTCACCATCAAAACTGCTCTTATCTTGGTCATCAAAGATGTCTGTGTTGCTACATCTAATTCTCATTCTCAATCTTTCTTTACCAATTAGCGGAGTTTGACATAATTGACTACTCTCACCCTCTCTAAACATGGTTTACTCTCAGTTGGCTTCTGACTGTTTCTTCCCCATTTCCTTTGTTGGTTCCTCTTTATCTCCCTGACTTAAATATTGGTGTGCCCCATGTTCAGTGCTCGGACCTTTCCTTTTTTTCTCCAAATGATTATACAGTGTAAGAATTCCCATATTTATAGCTCCACCCAGACCTCTCCCCTGAATTCTAAACTCATATGTCCAAATGCCTACCTGACATCTTCACTTGTGTATCTGACAGATATCCATGTCCCAAACTGAGCTCCTGAGATGTCTTCTAAAATCTGTGCCTTCAAGTAGAGTCTTCCAAATCTCAGTTAACAGCAACTCTATTTTTCCAATTGCTCAGGTAAAAAACTCTAGAATCATTCTTGACTTCTCTTTTTCCTTCTTTGTACATTTGTCACCAGTAGTCCTGCTGGCTCTACTTTCAAAATATATCCAGAATATGAAACTTCTCACCACCCCTACCCTCAATTTTCTGATTCATGCCACTATCTTCTCTTGCCTAAATTATTTTACAATAGTTCATGATTAGTCTTCTAGATTCCATCCTTGCCCTCCTTGGCTTTCTCTTGACACAGCAGCCACAGTGATCTTGTTATGTTAGATCAAACATTTCACTCCTCTCTCTGCTCAATAACATCCAGTGGCTTTCTGCCACTAAAAGCTAAAGTCCTAACTCTGACCTCTAAGACTATGTAATCCGGCCCTCCAATTACTCTTTGGCCTCATTTCCTTGTTCACGGGGCTCCAGTCACACGGTCTCCTGGCTGCTCCCTTCACATCTTTGGCTTACTTCTACCTCAGGGCTGTAGCACTTGCTGTTCCTTCTGCTTGTATTGTTCTTTCCCTCAGTCCCTTAAGGCATTTATTCAAAAGTCACTTTCCTGTGAAGATTTCCTAGGTTATCCTTATTTAAAATTCAATTCCTCTCACCTGAACGCATAACATCTACCTCACTGCTTTAGTTTTTTTCTCCCCTTAGTACTTACCACTACCTAACATAACTTACCTTCTTTATTGTCTGCCCCTCACTAGATTATAAATTCAACAAGAATAGATATTTTGTATGTTTTTTTTTTTTTTCACTGATGTACCTGGAGTCTAGGATAATGCCTGGCACATTATAGGTCCTCAAATATTTGTTGAAAGAGTGAATGAAATATATAATGAAGACAACCAAAAAAGATAGATTAAAAGATCCAGAGTCATGAGCTATAAACTT